GGTGCAGTGTGTGCAGTTTGATAAGGAAATGAGCTGGAAGTGTTACTGAGCATCTTGCAGAAGCAGCCGCGGTTCTTCTGGAGACTTTGACTGTCGACTCGCTTCTTATTTCTGCAGCGAAACCCAGCAGCCTTCATTCTGTTTTTATCTGAAAAGTGTCTCTTATGGAATCTGCTGCTTTCTTTACTGACATACAAACGTTTTTCTGTAACGTTTAGTTTTTTGCTGGAAAACTAATGTTTGGAATCTAAAATGTTTTTGTACTGAATCAATAATGTAGAAGTCAGAAAATAAACATCTATAACAAAGTTTGTATGAAAAATAGGGTGCCAAGACTTTTGCATAGTACTGTATGTGTGTGTGTGTGTGTGTGTGTGTGTTACCCTCTAAGCAGGTTGTGGAGAAGAAGGCGATATTGCGGGTCTCCAGTGGACTCTCATGTGTGCACTCTGGGCTCCTGGTCTGAGGCTCCGACTCGCCAGTCAGAGATGAATTATCCACCTGAGAAAAGGAAATGAGAATAATGGGATGTTTTGTGTCTCTTTAAACTGCTTTGGGATCAGTTCTGATCCGGACAAGAAAATTTTTTTATTTTTAAAAAAATTTTTGTTCCACTCCTATCAGCTACGAACTGTAATCTGAGGCTATGGTGGGCGCATTCTCTGTGAAACTGGAAAGGTTACGATTGGAAAAATGTTGATCTGATGAATCTCTATTTCTCCTGCGACATGCGGATGGAAGGCATCAGCGGTATGAATCCACACACCCAACCTGCCTTGTGTCATCGGTTCATACTGGTGGTGGTGGTGGAATGGTGTGGGGAATTTATTTTATTTTATTTACAATCAACAGCATATAATTTCCTGACCCAGACTCCAGGCCTGAAAAGAAAGTATTTGAAGATTGCAGAACCGTTTGCAAAATATTTCATTCTGTCATGTGACATAGATGTTGTGTATTCAGGCGTCTATCCAAACATGAGGGAATGACAGTATAAAGCTGCTATAATGTATGCAATAACAGGAAATAACGTGTCGCGTGGGCGTTCCACTAGGGCTGGAGGACTCAAAGTTTTAGGCATTGGTCTCGGTAAACATGCTCTTAGTCTTGATGAAAAGTTTGTAAAAATAGTTTGTCTTTTCTTTTTGCATGCACAAAGTTCGACAAAAAGTAATTCCTTCTTCGAGAAAACAGCAGTAGACAGATAAACAGTACTTAGTGCCAATAAACTGCAATCACTGGCAAGTTCAATTCAAGTACAATTCAACACCTCTACTTTCTCCTCACTCCGTTTTCAGACATCACTACATTTCCTAGCTTCTGATCTAAACTTTAACGTTAACAGACATGACAGCAAGAACGAGACCGAATACCTGCCACTGGAATTTATCTGCTGCTAATCAGTGTGTATCTTTCTTCACATTTTAAATTTTAAAATGTTAAAATATAAATTATAAAATATCTCAATTTTAATAAACAAAGAGTTTACAGTATATTTCATGAATTTAACTTGAAGGAAGAGTTTGTAGTTGTACTTTTTTTGGACTTGTTTTGAACTTTTATCCAGCTGAACTGAGAAGGTTTAGGAACTTGCTCAAAGACCAGACATTGGTGGTTTTCTTCTGATCCCAGATCAGTATCCCAGATCCCGACCACCTGAGCCTCCTTTGCTCTGCTCTCCAGCACTCTGTAACAGCGTTCTGGTCACACACCTTACAGCCCTGTGATGTGATGATACGGATGTCAGCAGGAACCCTGTCTCCTCCTTTAATCTCCACCAGGTCGCCCACCACCAGCAGGTTGGCGTTGATCTGGGTCTTTTGGCCGTCTCGGATAACCATGGCTTGCTGGAGGGAAAACACGATATGCTTTAGGTTTGTTTTTTGTCTCATTTGTGAGATCCTGCTCACACACCCAGTTTATCTTATAATCACTCCATTCTTGGGAAACAGGATGAGCTTTTGCTGTGGCACTGCACTTTCCAAAGCAGGTTAAGATTTTAATCAGTAAACACTGCAAAGGACAGAGGAATTTATACTTTGAAGTTTCTCTGTACCATGACAAGAGGCAGGTTTGCTTTTCTTTGTCTTATTGACTTCAAGGTTGGTGAGACTGCTGAGAATGTACTACAACATTACCTCTAAACAGACACAAACAGAAAGTGGAACAGCTGGCAAATTGCTGTGGTATAAGACTTCAGGATGTGCTGTTATCTCACCTGTGGTACCAGATTCTTGAAACTGGCGATGATGTTGGTGCTCTTGAATTCCTGGTAGTAGCCAAAACAGCCGGTCACGACGACCACAGCGATGAGGGTGATGGCCAAATAAAGCTGCAGAGAGACAGACAATGGAGTCCATTAGGAAATTAATGAAGAGGATGAACAGGGAGTTTAAAACAGAGAAAGTCAGTAACAGACTGCACAGAGTGTTCTAGCGCTAAACACACAAAGCACTTATTATTCCAATGTCTGTATCTCAGATGTGCAATTAAAATAATCACTGTATTGTCTTATCTGTTCATTCTGGTTTTCCTTTTTCACACTCGCCCAACCTGAGGTTTCTTTTGTCCAAACAGATCATTTTTTGCACATGCTATAAATGGTAAGTAAATGTGTTCTTGTAGAAAACTTCAAAAGTCTTCTTTTGCTCAACCTGAGGCTTCTGTCATCCAACCTGAGGATTCTATCAGTCAGCCATGAGGATATTTTGGCCAAGCAGAGGCTTCTTTTACCCAAACTGGGGTTTCTATCCTCCATGCAAAGACTTTGCCCAAGCTGAGGATTCTTTTGCCCAACATGAGGCTTTCTTTGCTCAAACCTAGGCTTATTTTGTCCAAACTAAGCCTTCTTTCACCCAAACCTAGGCTTCTTTTGCCCAAACGGAGGCTTCTTTACCCCAACCCTAGAGCTGAGACTTCTTTTGTCCAAGCTGAAGCTTCTTTTTCTTTTCTTTTGCTGAACCTAAGGCTTCTTTTGCTCAACCCGAGGCTTCTTTTTCCCCCAACTCGAGGTTTATTTTGCTGTGTTATACAGCGTATGATTCTCTAGTATGGAGGACTAGTGGTTAGGCCACAGCACTCTCACTGCTGCGACTTGGGTTTGATTCCTGGTCGGGGAACCAACCTCAGATACTGGGGTTGCACGGCACAACAGTGCACTCTCAGTGCCGGTCCCAAGCCCAGATAAAATTGGGAGGGTTGCGTCAGGAAGGGCACCTTGCGTATTAAAAAAAAAAACAGTGCCAAATCAAATAACAATATCAAATTAACATCTATTACAGTGGTGTAACACCAGCATCCTCGGTTTGAGCCTGAACTGTGTGGAGTTTCTGTGCATGTGTCTGTATGGGTTTCCTCCAGGTCCTCCGGTTTCCTCCAACATCTCAAAACATGCAGATAGACGGACTGGCTACGCTAAATCAAATCTTTAGCCAGTCACTGTGCTGGGTTAAATCTGACTCTGTGTCACCAAACCATGAGCTAGAGTTATATTTGTGTGTTTATATCTTCCTTCGATATCTTCTAATGAATTTATTTGGTTCTGTTTCTGAAAATATATATAATATAATAAAATTATATACAGTATACTATAGTACAATATAATAATACAACCCACAGACACTTCGACTAAGATAAAGGATTTACTGGAGATGAACGACTGAACGTGGTGAACGCGTCACTCAGAGTCGCACGTGCACGTCTCCACGTTGAATTTTGTATTACACAAACATTTAATATGAAACACGGATCAGCTTTTACCTAACTCAAATTTAAAACCGCTTAAGTGTGATTTAATGTTAAGGTATAAAAACGATGTTCAGATGTTCAGGATTCTCACATCGTCATAGCCGGCGATGTCACCCTTCGCACACTCGATGCCGAAAGCGATAAAGCAGATGACGGCGGCGACCCACATCAGACACTGCAGACCTCCAGCCAGCTGCCGGGCGAACTTCACGTACTCGGGCGTCCCTTTGGGTGGCTTCAGCTCGTTGGGGCCGTCGCGCTCCAGGGTCTGCTCAGCGATCCTCGAGGTCAGGCCCTACGACACGGTACGACAGATTAGACAGCAGGGTCAGCACAAAGCCCAGAGTTATTAACATGTTATTAACTATCCTAGGCATAATAACAACAACAGGAAATGACATAAAATGGACATAAAATAAAATTAAAAAAAAAAAGGAAACAAGGAAGTAAATATATAATAAATAAATAAATAAATAAATAAATAAATAAATAAATAAATACACTCAAGCAAAGGCATTGAACACCTTTGGGGAAAAAGCAGATAAATATTTCTGAAAATTCATGAATGCATGAAAGGAGATATTTATTAATTAAAACTTTAACACTGTGGTCCATAAAAACATTTTATCCTCGAATTTAAATGCGAGAAATTTGAAAACCATATAGAAAGCCATTTTTTAGTAGATATAGTATAAAATTTGGTCAGTTTTATTTATTCATTTTTAAATATTCTGATCCTGATCGTCTTGTAGCTGTTGGATTTCCTCAGACTTTTTTTTTTATTTATTTATTTTTTTTATTTGTGTTATATAGGAGATGTATACTCTTTTAGGATAAAAACTGGCCATTTTTATTTATTTTTTAATATTCTGATCTATTATCTATTAGCTGTTGCATTTCTCAAAAACAGCCTGGCTGTCAGAAAGGTGCTAGATAAATTGAACACATAAATTTAATTAATTAATTAATTAATTAATTAAAAAAAGTCAATTCTTTCTCATTTTCATTTGACATACTATAACAGTCACACAGCTTTTACTGTGCTATACACATAATATAAAACCCCACATATCTATTTGGGACATTGAACTAAGGTATTAAAAAATGGATAAAAATATTAGGCTTAGACCACTGAGGGTTAAATGCCTTTTATGTCTTTTGCAATATTTTGTCATTTTTTTATTTCTATTTGAAAAAAAACATTTGAATATCCTAAAAAATATCCTAAATTTAGACCAGTGAAATTTCCGAGGTCTGTGTATAAAATAGTAGGGAAGTGAATCTTACTTTCGTAATGCTTGTCGTGTATCTCGTCTCTAATTCCTCGAGCGTGATCTCATGGTCGTCCTGCACAAACAAACGATTAAGAGAACATTTTTAGACGTTTAAATCTTGCTCAATGGAGACACGCGTACGGGCGTGAAAACTTCCTGCCACTCACAATGTCCATCTCCTTCTTCATGTTCTCCAATCTCTCCTTTTTCTTCTGTTTTTTCTTTTTCTTGATCTTCACATCCATGTCCCCGTCCATTTTATCCATCTCCACAAACATCTCGTAAGAGTCCTGCGAAGAATATAAGAAACACTCGTTAGTCAGAAACAACCCACACGCCGGCTTTGTATAAAACTACAACCGAGATTTCATTCCTTTATTTCATTTCTGAGATTTTATTCTTGATTTTTATTTTGTTTTGCTTACCGTTTTATTCATGATGCTCAACTGGCTGTCCAAATCGATCGATGTCCAAACCTCGAAGCTCTTTTCGCCTGAAATGGTGAAAATGTCCTGGTATCCCACAGACACCTCGCTCTTAAAACCCCAAGGAGAATGCACAGGAGTGTGTTATCAGCTGAGACAGGTTTATATACCGCTGCCTCGTGTCCTTCACCAGGCCTTCGGCATGAACCGCGCTGCCTTTCCAATGTCACCCTCGTCACATAAGTGCCTGCTGCTTGTCTCTGCTTTATCACTATCAGCAACTCTGATACTGAATAAATTCCCTTTTGTTTGAGAACAAATGTGTTCGTTTTTAACTTTCATCACACGTAAGTAGAAGGTCATTGTATGACCAAACATTTACGTCTATCTTCACGAACACATTGTTTTACTTTCATTGCTATTTCTTACACTTGTTTATAGAGAAGAATAAAATCCTCTGATCCTCTTTTTCTTTCTTAAATAAGGAACAGACCACAGTGTGTTGTGCTGTTATAGTAAAACAATCAGTGACAGGGTGGCGTGACGAAGCGGAGTTCCTGTTACACACTGACGTTGATTATATTTCTATAACAGCACGCCTTGAAGTGTTTTATTCCTCTTACGCCACAGCAGTTCACCAATGATTACAATGTTTTATTCATTAACCAAAGGCACATCATGCTTTTTATCCGTTTATAGCTACAACAAACACAGCTTGTCATGTTACCATAGTGTAAACTCCTCTGCCCTGAAGATGTCTGAGAATATAAATTTACTTTAAGTTTTGCCTCTGACACTGGAGACTCCTTCCAAAAAAAAAAGCTAAACACATCAGTGGAGCGTCATACAAGCGCCTGTGAACGAGCTGTTCCTATAGAAGCGATAACTTATTAGTGCGAGCGCAATAATTTAAACTTGCAATGAAGTGGAATTACTGTTACTACCCTGAAGTTGATTATTTTCCTATAACAGCATGCCCCGAAGTGTTTTATTCTTCTTACATTTACATTTAAGGCATTTGGCAGACGCCCTCATCCAGAGCGACTTACAATAGTGCTTTGAAGTCTATCAAAAATACGTTCTGATATTGGCTCACTAGGTCACAAACTAGGAACACCATCAGTCCAAAACTCTGTTGGGAGGGGTTTTTGTGTGTGTGTGTGTGTGTGTGTGTGTGTGTGTGTGTGTGTGTGTGTGTGTAAGTGCTAACTTAAGTACTTTATGAAGAGGTAAGTCTTTAGACGTCGTTTGAAGACAGCCAGTGACTCAGCTGTTCATGGACATCTAGGGGAATATAATTTTATAATTAAGCATTTATATTTGTTAAAGAACAATATGTCATACTTTATAGTTACATTTAATATTGTGGATGCTGTGATGGTGCTGTTATAGAAAATGAATCAACAGCTTCTGACCAATCAGAATCTAGAATTGTATTTCTTTCCTTTCGAGGGTAATAATACGCTGTTATAATATATAATAAATGCTGTTAATGCTGAAATTTAACCCACCTCAGCTGCAAGTGAGTTTAACATAATCATAGTAACAGGACTAAAGTTGATCTAAGCTTACTATAAATGAATAAATATTTTATTATATTTATTTTAAATATTATTTTGATGCCGGTTAAAGCTTTTAATGCATGCTTGTGTAATCCAGTCTGCTGAGTGATAAAACACAATCATCTAGCGGCCACAAGGCAAAACTGAAGTCGCTCCGTGTGTGTGTGTGTGCGTGTGTGTGTGTGTGCGTGTGTGTGTGTGTGTGTGTTTGCTCTCATGGTGTAATTCATGCAATCTGTGTGAGATAAGAACCATTTCTCATGTAAGTGGTCACAGCTCTTGTTTGCTCAGGGCATCCAGTGTGCGTAAGATTCGGTAAAGACGTAGTTTAAGTCGCGGTGAGACGTTCAGTCCTCCTTTAGCTAATCACTGTCACCTCTATTATCAGACAGTTTCCTGGATGCATGTCATATTTTAAATTACACCACAGCACTACTGAATTCTCAAACCTGTTTGGTCAGAAGGTGTTACCAATGAAAGGATTAGTGCAGCTGCAAATCACAGGTTTATATTAATGTGCTGGTTCTAATACGTTATTGTTTCTATAGCAACAGCTCGTTCACAGGGACTTGTTTTGTCGTGCATTTATTTAACATTTATGGAAGGAGTCTCATGGCGCGTGACGGCCTTCTCTGGTTTCTCTGGTTTCCTCCCCCAGTCCAAAGACATGCATTGTAGGCTGATTGGCATTTCCAAATTGTTCGTAGTGTGTGTGTGTGTGTGTGTGTGTGTGTGTGTGTGTGTGTGTGTGTGTGTGTGTGTGTGTGATTGTACCCTGCGATGGGTTGGCACCCTGTCCAGGGTTTCCCCCAAGCCCCCTGGGATAGGCTCCAGCCTCCCTGCAACCCTGTGTAGGATAAGCGGTATGGGAAATGGATAGATGGAAGGAGTCTCCACTGTCAGTGCTTTGTAAAAGTCAGAGGTAAAGCTGTAACCTTAAGTATGCATATACTGTACGTTTTTAGTTTTTAGAAGTTGTATGTAAAATCTAGAGAATAACTAGATTTTTTTTAAAGTGTAAAAAAGTTATTTTCTTTGCAAATACAGGTTTTAGAGGTTTTAGTCCCTACCTATGCATGACAACAAGATTTGCAAGTCAGCTGTCATAAAT